TCAGTCTTGCAAAATTCTATCATGCAATCTCTGGCATCATTTCTATTACCAAAGCCATATTCCCTATCTACTGTTCTTTCTTTTTTGTTTCCTACTTTCTCATTACAATCACCAGTAATTATCAATGCATCTTGATTGCATGTTTTATCAATTTAAGACTGAAGTTGGTAAAAATATTCAATTTCTTAATCTTAATAGTGGTTAGTGCATAAATTTGAAAAAATATTCATATTAACTGGTCTTCCTTGTAGGAATATGTATGTTATCCTATTACTGACAGTGTTGTACTTCAGGATATATCTTGAAATGTTCTTTTTAATCATGAATGTGACACAATTCCTCTTCAATTTGTCATTCTGGAATAGTAGACCATATGATTTTTCTATTAAAACTGTCCAATATCAGTCCATTTCAGCTTACTAATTCCTAATTCCTGTTCTTGTTATGTGCCGTCGAGTCGGACCCAACTCATAGTGACCCCTTCTTGGGTTTCCAAGGTAGTGTCACTATGGAAGTAGATTGCCCCATCTTCCTTCCAGGGAGTGGCTGGTGGGTTTGAACCACCAGCCTTCTGGTTAGCAATCAAGTGCCTTAGCCACTATGATACCAGAGCTAGGATATTGATATTCCATATAACAACAACAAACAAACCATAACCCACTGCTGGTTAATTGATTCCAATCATAGCAACCCTAAAGGACAGAATAGAGCTGCTCCATAAGGTTTCCAATGATGTAAATCTATAGGGAAGCATATTGCCACATTTTCTCCTTTGGAGCAAGCTGATGGGATTGAAGTGCCAACATTTTGGTTAGCAGCTGAGCAATTTAACCACCTTATTAGACAAACTGATTGATATTCCATACAGTAAATAGTAATGTATAATGCCATTTATGCAAGCATATTGATCCCACATTTAAGATAGAGAGATGGGAAGTGTGAAGGTTGATACCTAGGAAGAAAAGAAAAAGAAAGAATCAATGTGAGGGGTAGTGGCTTGCAAATAATGAGGAAGAGAGATACAGGAGAATAAAGTAGTTAAATACCAAATTAAAAGAAAATGCTGAATAAAGTATAAGCCCAAAGAGGAAAGGAGAGAAGGGAAAAGAAAGCACGATGAAGAAGAAAGAGAAAACAAGTACAATGAAATGTGGGAAATGTGAGAAAGAGAAAGAGAGAGAGAGCAACTACTAGATAGAAGTTTATATCCATCAGCATAAGAAGGTTGTTACTGCCATTAATAAATTTTGTTAGCTCTACAAAACTTATCAGAGTTTTTGCTTTTATGTTAAATTTTGTTTTTAAAAGATTTATATACAAATTTTTTAAACTATGTTTTTGTTAGGTGCCATCGAGTCATCTCCAACTCATAGCAACCTCATGCACAGCAGAACAAAACACTGCCTGGTCCTGTGCCGGCCCCACGATCCTTGCCCATTGTTGCAGCTGCTGTGTCAATCCATCTCATTGAGGGCCTTCCCCTTTTTCCCTGTTTTGTTATCCCTCCACTTTGCCAAGTATGATATCCTTCTCCAGGGAATGGTCCCTTCTGACCACATGACCAAAGTAGGTGAGATGAGGTCTGGCCATTCTCACGTCCAAGGAGCATTCTGGCTACACTTCTTTCAAGATGGATTTATTAGTTCTTTTAGCAGTCCATGGCGTTTTCAGTATTCTTCACCAACACCACAACTCAAAAGCATCCACTCTTCTTCGGTCTTCCTTTTTCATTGTCCAGCACTCACATGCATGTGACACGATTGAAAATATCATGGTTTGTGTCAAGCACAGTTTAGTCTTCAAGGAAACATCTTAGCTCTTCAGCACTTGAAAGAGGTCCTTTGCAGCAGATTTGCCCAATGCTGTACAACATCTGACATCTTGACTGCTGCTTCCATTGGTGTTGATTATAGAACCAAGTAATATGAAGTCTTTGACAACTTCAGTCTTTTCTCCATTTATCACGATGTTGCTTATTGGTCCCCTTGTGAGGATTTTTATTTTCATTATATAGAGGTGTAATCTGCATTGCAGACTGTAGTCCTCAATCTTCATCAGTGTTTCAAGTCATACTCACTTTCAGTGAGCAAAGTTGTGTTGTCTGCATAAAGTAGGTTGTTAATAATTCTTCCTCCATGTTCTTCATATTTTAAAATATAGGATTGTGCATTATGTGTACCTTCCTTACTCTCCCTGTAATAGCCTAAGACTAGGAAAGTACACTTCATTAACAACTCACACTTCCCCTCTCCCTGCCAAAAAGCTCATCAGGAGTATGGATAAGAATCTAGAATAAATACAGAACGATTATTTTCTCTGTGCTCAAGTCATAAGCTACAGTCTTTCCCCACCCCATAACTTTGCCCCCGTTAACTGTTAAATATATGCACATTCTTATAGCATGTACAAATATGTATGTAGAAATATCATCTGCCAAACTTATATATGGTCATAGGTATATTCTTTTTTTCCTAAACATATCTCATCATTCAGCCTGTCCATCGATGTATCCACCCATAGATTAATGTTTGTTATTACTGATAATGCAGTATTGTTATGCAAAAGTGTTTATCTTTGTTGTCTGTACCATTTGTAGGCTGCAGTCTTTTGAGAGTCCACCTAAGTGAGGAATTGAGAGTTGCTTTCTCACCTTTTTCTCTAGGCTATATAGATTTTGCTTCCCACCATACTGATATATCTGTGAAATGGGCAACCATATTTTTTATCTTTCTATCCTTACTATCTGGGAAGGAAGATTGGGCAATCTACTTCCATAGAGATATGGAAACCCAAGGAAGGGTCGCTAGGAGTTGAATCAACTTGACTGCGGTGAGATTTTTTTTTTTTTAATCCTTACTACCCAGACCAAACCAAAAACAAACTAAACTCACTGTCATTGAGTGGATTCCGACTCACACTGACCCCCACTGGGTTTCCCAAGTAGTAAATCTTTACAGAAGTAGATTGCCTCATCTTCCTTCCATGGAGTGGCTGGTGCGTTTGAACCACCAACCTTCTGGTTAGCAGTCAAACCTTAGGCACTGTGCCACCAGAGCTCCTTACTATCCAGACCAGTAACTGGTAAATAAAAAACACAGACTAAATAATGAAAAATGAGAGTAGTATGAAAGAAGGATATAATATTGAACTTAAGCAGAAAGTTTACACAGATAAAGTAAACATTTCATTTCATAAGAATTATCATCTCAAACAAGGATTCATTTTTTTTTTCCCTGTGTACTCTAGATCTTGGTGAATGGTTTGGAAGAACAAAGTAAACATTAGAAGGCTTGAAAATCTAAATCCCTATGGTTTGTCCTTTATTTGTCCTATGCCTCTAGTTTCATCAACTAGGCTAACTACTTCATGTTATGAAGAATAAGGGAAAATATATTTATTTAGCCTTATTCATGTGGTAGGTGCTTTTGACATAAATTGAACAATTACACAGTCTTGGTTGGTCAACACTTAGACTGTTCTTTACAAATCCTTACAGTTAACTTTCTCTCCCCTATGCTGAAATACCTTATTCTAACCCCAATAACTCTGTTTGAATAGTATTATCCTAAATCCACCTTTCCTTTTCTATTGGTGCTCATCTCTTCTTACTTTTCCTTAATGAACCAAGCAAATTAACATAAACCTGTGATTCACCAAGTTTCCCATTAAACATCAATCTTTCAAATTATCCAGTGGAAGGGCACACTAAAGAGGGATAGATTTAGTTTGCTGTATCATCAGATTCTTTATCTTAATAATTGAGTTCTTTTAGTGTTATCCTGATATTTTGGTTTATTTTTGCCTTACCTGAAGGTGCTGGTTGAATTACTTTCTTGTAATGCTGGCTTAATGATATCTGGTTTAAATTTTATTTTTTAACACAGAGTGAATTGTCTACTTATTTAGTCATCATTTTCTGTATACAAAGACTACTTAGTTTTCAAAGCATTATACCCAATTGGAAGAGACCCTGGTGCTGTGGTTAAAGCATTTGACTGCCAACCAAAATATCAGCAGTTTGAACCCACCAGCTGCTCTGTTAGAAGAAGATGAGGCAGTCTACTTCCATAAAGATTTATAGTCTTAAAAACCCTATGGGGCAGTTCTACTCTGTTTTGTAGGGTTGCTATGAATTAGAATGGACTCTATGGCCGTGGGTTGGGTTTGGTTATAGCCTGTTGAAAAATGACTCATGTAAGGCCAAATCATTATTTTGATTCATTTTAATCTCATGGGCCTATTTTCCAAAAGGAATGCTATTGTAATGACAGTGAAATCTACTTATTTAAATTTTTTTATTGTGGTTTGAGTGGAAGTGTACAGAGTAAATTGGTTTTCTGTTCAACAATCTGCACACCTTCTGTTGTGTGACATTCACTGCAATCCCCACCACGTAACAGCCCTCTTCCCACTTCCTCCTGATGCCCACCACTTCCCATGGTCCTTCCTTTCCATTCCCTCTTGGCTCTCTAGCTCTATCCCTGGGCAAATGCTGCCCTCTTGATCTCATTGATTGTTCTTACGAGTGCATATCCTCCTGTTATCATTGTTCACCTTATAGTGCTATCTATCATTTGGCTGAAGGTTGAGCCATTGGGGTTGAGTTAATTTTGATAGATCAAATTATCCTAATTTCATTATTATAAGCATGTTCAAAGTTTTGGCTTCAAAACTGGCTCATGAGCCAGTTTCATGATGTACCTGAGAGTAATTTCATTTTGAATAAAAATGTGTTCCTGTTTCTTTTTTCATTGATCTCACTTTCCATTTCATCATTGTCTTTGGAAGGTGGCTGAGTGATACACGGTAACAATTGTTTCTATTCAGCACTATAACTTTTACACTGGCTATAAATTATATTTAAATTGCCTTATGTGAAGGCAGAAAATCAGTTTAGGTAATAAAACTATTCTTGCTTCTCTTTTCCATCAGATAATGTATTAATTCTCTGAACCTAGTATGTAAAGAGCATTAATCTGAATTCCATGTCAATCTTTCAGGTAATGGAAGTCAAAGGACAAATGATCCATGTCCCAGAATCAAATTCCATTTTATTTTTGGGCTCTCCGTGTGTGGACAAGCTGGATGAACTTATGGGCCGAGGACTGCATCTCTCGGACATCCCTATCCATGATGCCACCCGAGATGTCATTTTAGTTGGTGAGCAGGCAAAAGCCCAAGATGGCTTGAAGAAGAGGATGGATAAATTAAAGGCAACTCTAGAAAGAACTCACCAGGCCCTGGAAGAGGAGAAGAAGAAGACAGTGGATCTCCTATATTCCATTTTCCCTGGTGATGTAGCCCAGCAATTGTGGCAAGGGCAGCAAGTGCAGGCCAGGAAGTTTGATGATGTCACCATGCTCTTTTCGGACATTGTTGGTTTCACAGCCATCTGTGCCCAGTGTACTCCCATGCAGGTGATCAGCATGCTGAATGAACTGTACACCAGATTTGACCACCAGTGTGGATTTTTGGATATCTATAAGGTAAAAGGTTCAGTATGTAAATATTTTTTAATAGTTAACTGTCATGATAATTAAATTGTAACAATTTTTTTATACTTAAACTTAATAGTAAATAATTCTTTAATTTAGAAATTGTTATACATAATATGGGTATTTCTGCCATGTGTGTAAACTTTCATTAGGAGTAAATTTATAATATTGACGTTGGTAAATATTGCTGAGTAAGGAAAATTCTGTATAGCTTAGTCTTCAGAATTCATTATTAAAAAAATGAAAATTGCTGAATTCTAGGCAACTTGTTGTTATTGTTGTTGTGTGCCATCGAGTCAGACCCGACTCATAGCGACCCCTCCTTGGGTTTCTGAGGCAGTATCACTGGAAGTAGATTGCCCCATCTTCCTTCTGAGGAGTGGTGAGTGGGTTTGAACCGCCAGCCTTCTGGTTAGCAGTCAAGTGCCTTAGGCACTAAGCTAAAGTTAATCTTACTTAGAGATCAGTATAAACGAAGAATTGTAACTTGACAGTTAAAGAGAAACAAGTTAAGTTGAAATATTCATTGCATTGTAAGTTAAATCACGCCTAATCAGTGTTGTGCATTATGTTGTCAATCAAATTAGATTCCTCTAGTTCTAAAAAAATGCATGAAGATATCCTAGCTCTTGCTGAGATGACCAATGGCTTTTAGTAGGAGCACCTTAATTTTTCCGGCATAATGAGAAAGAATTGAAAATAGGTACCAATCACCATTTGTTGGTCTGATTTTGGAAACTCTTCATCAGTTTCTCATTAAAACCATGGTAATATCTTGAGTGGTTCAACCCTGCATGTATCAGAAGAAAGGAATTTACATAGAATTCCATGTGAATTACACAATGTTGGTGCCCATGGCTTTTTCATATGAAGGACAGCAAATGCCTTTATTGTAAACAAACAACAGGAAACTGTTGGAATTTTGTTTTGTTTTGTTTTTTTTCGCTTTACTAATCCATCTAGAGGAGCTCTGGTGGCATAGAGCTTAAGACACTTGACTGCTAACCAGAAGAATAGTGGTTCAAACCCACCAGCCACTCCTCGGAAGGAAAGTTGGGCAATCTACTTCCTAGTGATACTGCCTCGAAAAGCCAAGAGGCGGGTCCCACTCCATGGCACATAACAACAAATCCATCTAGACCAGCGGCTTTTTCTTATAGTATGAACTTCTCCTAAGCAGACTTGCAAAGAACCTGTCTGTTTCACTTTGCAGACTCCTATTATGATCTGGAGGATGTTTTGGTAAACCAAAGAGAAAGGCAAGCTCCAGTTCCATTATCTATAATCTATAACCAGGTATTATAATCTAGTTGGTTCCAACTCATGGTGACCCCAGGCCAGAGTAGAACTGTGCTCTATACAGTTTTCTTTCTTTTTTAAATATTTTATTGTGTTTTTGGTGAAAGTTTACACAGTAGATTAGGTTCCCATTTAACAACTTCTATACCTAGCATTCAGTGACATTAGTTACATTTTTCACAATGTGTCCACATTCTCATGGATTCTGATCTGGTTGTTCCATTTCCATTAATGTAGCTTGCCTGCTGTCTCATAATTGCTTTATGGAAAATGTTGACTGTTTGGTCTTATTTAGATTTTTTTTTTTTTTTTTTTTTGTCCTTAAAGAAGCACAATACTCATTTTGTGAGCTAATCTGTTATTTAGCTGAAAGGTGATCTCTGGGAGTGATTTCAGTTCCAAGTTTAAAGGATATCTCAGGGGAATAGTCTAAGGGGTTCCTCTTGTCATTACTTGTCCAGTAAGTCTGTCCTTTTACAAGAATTTGAGTTTTATTCTACATTTTTCTCCATTCTCTCTGGGACCATCTATTGTGTCCCTGGTCAAAAAGGTTGGAAGTGGTAGCCAGGCACTATCTAGTCCTTCAACTCTCAGCATAGATAAGGCCATGGTTTGTGTGTGCTATTAGTCCTCTGAACTAGTTTCTTTGAGTCTTGGTTTTCTACTTTCTCTTTTGCTCCAGAAAAGTAGAGAATGATAGTTGTATCTTTGATAGTTGTTGATGACATTGATACAATGATAGTTGTTGATGACATTGCTCATCAAACTAGGCTGAAAATATAAACTTTATGAATTATGTTATGCTAGTCGACCAAGTTGTCCCACAAGACTATGGTCTTAACCCTTCAAACCCAGTAAACCAATCCCACGAGGTGTTTGGTTATGTCTAGGAAGTATCTGTAACTGTGCTATACAAATATAAGCAACATACTTCATACAGTTTTTAATGACTGATTTTTTGGAAGACGATCACCAGGCTTTTCTTTTGAAGTGTCTCTGGTTGGACTTGAATCTCCAACCTTTTGGTTAGCAGCCAAGTATGTTAGCCATTTTCACCATCCAGGGACTTCTTTGAACCACCAGCCAGAAGGCACTTAGGCACTATGACATCAGAGATCCTTCCATAGTATACGGCTGATCTTAAATATGTTTTACTGAATCTCATCTGGGTAGTGCACATTCCATGTGTAGTGTATATGACAGATTTGTCATGTTATACAAAATAAGAGTTATTATAAATTATTTTCAAATTGTTTATAATTTATTGTTAGATAATCTATGGTAGAGGTAGCCCAATGTCTGATCTTAAACCAGAGAGACACTACCATGAGTATCTCACTATTACACCTAGTCATGTTCAGAATGGAATGGTCTGAATTTACCAGCACTTTCCTTCTTCCAGAATTGGGAACTATTACCAGTCTCTGCATTTCTCTCCCTTACCTCCTAAACCTCTGATTTGTGGTGTTAACTTCCTCTAACTAAAGCAGTTTTTTTTTTTTTGGAGCTCTGGTGGTATAGTGCCTAAGGCTTTTGACTGCTAATCAGAGGGCTGACAGTTCAAACCCACCAACCACTCCTTGGAAGGAAGACTGGGAAATCTACTTCTGTAGAGATGTTGTTGTTATGTGCCATCAAGTCAGACCTGACTCATAGTGACCCCTCCTTGGGTTTCTGAGGCAGTATCACTACGGAAGTAGATTTCCCAACCTTCCTTCCGAGGAGTGGCTGGTGGGTTTGAACCGACAGCCTTCTGGTTAGCAGTCAAGTGCCTTAGGTACTACACCAACAAAGCTCCTTCTGTAGAGATACCGCCTCAGAAATCCAAAGAGGGTTTGCTATGAGTCAGGACCAACACGACGGCAGTGAGTTTGGTTTTTGGTTTAAGTTTATTAAGCTAAATGAGAATGATAAGTAGATTTTTTCCAGCAAAAATGTGGAAATCTCTGATTTAAATATAATTGTAAGTTAGGTTTTGAAAGAGAAGTAAAATCTCCTGAGGGCACCACAACAGTTTCCCAGTAAAAAAATATAATTAGATTTCACTGACAGCAAGTCTCCCGTCTTTTTGAGATAAGCTAGGTTATTTCACAGATAAAGGAAAAAGAAAATCTGTATGAATTTTTAACTTCCTTATATGCTGTTAAATCATGGACAGTCTCATATAGTTAGAGATAATTAGAAACTCTTTTTACCTTAGAAAATGGTTCTACTTTTTCTCTCATACTGAAGACTATGCTTTATGTTATATTATGTTATGTTATGTTATGTTATGTTATGTTATGTTATGTTATGTTATGTTATATTAGCTCTGGTGGCATACTGCCTAAGGCACTTGACTGCTAAGCAGAAGGCTGGTGGTTCAAACCCACCAGCTACTCCTGGGAAGATAGATTGGGTAATCTGCTTCTGTAGTGATACTGCCTCAGAAACCCAAGGAGGGATCACTATGAGTTGGGCCGACTTGACGGCACATAACAACAACATATTATATTATATTATATGATAGGCTCAAATATAGCAGGGATCATGGAGCTGGCGCAGGATCGGGCAGTGTTTCGTTCTGCTGTGCATGGGGTCGCTAGGAGTTGGAAACGACTCGACGGCACCTAACAACAACAAACAACATATTATATTATTATATATCCTATATATTCACACTAAAAATAAACAAAACCAATA